AGAAAGCCAGTCACCAGTGGCTCACAGCTGTAATCCTAGCTATTTGGAAGGCAGAGATCGTGAGGATCATGGCTCAATGCCAGCCTGGGCAAATGGTTCATGAGATCCCATCTCCAAAATAACCACAGCAAAATGGACTGGAGGTGTGGCTCATGAGGTAAGGTGCTGCTTTGCAAGCACAATGCCCTGAGTTTAAACCCCAGTCCCACCAAAAATAATAATAATGAAAGAAAAGAAAAATGATTGTAAAGTACATAATGATTAACGCATAAAGCCTTAATTAAATCATAACTCTCTTCCCTCTTTGTATGTTAACTTTCTGATGTACCTAAATTTTCAAATCATGAAAAGCAGCAACATTCCTTGCAGGAAACAGCTAATAGTTCTTATTTCCATAAATATTGGTCATTCACTTATTCATTTACTCAGCAAACACTATTGACCAATAGGCATTGTGCTGGACACAGGGGGTACAAGAATGAAGAAAACATATGATTCTTGCCCTCCAAAGTCTGACCTGGAATTTGACCAGTTTTCTTATTTTTTCTCCAAGCCTTAAACTCTTCACTGTTTTGTGTTAAAGAATAACTGTGTCGCACATTGAGAGTCTGAATGAGAATGAGAAGGATGTCGTGGGAATGGTCCTTAGGTGCCTGAAGGGCTCCATATGCTGGGACAGGTCTTCTGTAGTCTGTGTTGCTACAAAGTGGATAGGTTCCAGGTTGAAATAAAAGGAACTTTTCTAAATTGAGCTTCTCCGAAGTGGAAAAAAGTTGCTTAAAGTAGAGAACACTGTGTCCTGTGTCACTGCAAGGAAAGAGTCCTGCCTGGCTGAGGTTGAATGCTAAGCTTTTTACCAAAACTTAGGTTTCCTGAGTTTGATATCAGTTAGAAAAAAATGAGAACAGGGTTTGGGAGAAGAGGAAATGAAGGTTTATAAATTTGCTAGCAAATTAAGGTATGCAGTGGACTTACCATCCTAAAGACTGCAGACCCTGGCCCAAGGAGAAGGATGAGTTTTAAAGGGAGAGCCCCAAACTCTCCCTTTAAATTTCCAGGACTTCTTATTTCCTATTGGTGTGAATGTCTTTGTTGGTACCAACTTTTGAGGTTGAGTCTTGTTGACACTGATCACCCATCTCCGGCTTATCTCCCATTGGTGTCAATGTCCATCTATCTGTTGGCGCCAAGTTCTGAGTTTGAGTCTGCTAACAAAAGGTTTCCTCCAAAGGTAGGGAGCATGATGACTCAGTAGGTCAGGGCTCAGTAGGTGACTGTAAAATTGTTAATTTAGGTGTCTGTCCCTGTTACATTTCCACCACCATTAATTTTTCCTTCCATTTCTATGGAAAAGGGTTGTCATGTTCCTCTGCTGCTTCTTGCTAAGGTTGGGAGATGTTAGGGGAATTTTCCAATGAAAGGCAGTAAGGAGTCAGGGCTTTTAGCAAAAGCAGCTTTCAAGTACCTGTTAAAAGCTTTTGAATTCCCATACTGGGAGGAAGATTGGTCAGTTAGATACTTTCTATTTTGAAGAGTCTGGGATCCATCAGTGAATACCACATTACCAGGACTCTGCATTGGGCTTCTATTCCCAAAGGTGGCCCACATGTGAAACTAGTGGTCACTCCAAGTGGTATGAGAAGGGGATATAAAAAGACTATGTACCCAAAACAATCTCCTCACCATTTTCCCCAATGCCAGAATTTCTCAAGTTTGTCATTCTTTGTCTTTGAGATATGAGGGTCCTTGTTAAAATGTAATTGGTTCAAGAAAATGCTTAAAAACCAATGAGGTTATTTCAAAGAACACTTAGAGCTTGAAGAGGCTCCCACTAACCAAATAACCCAGGATAACCCAGAAAGAAACATAAAGATGATAATAGAGTCTGCCATCTGAAATTAAAAAAAAAAAATCTGAGTCTAGAGACACTAAGAAAAGGGGATAGGTCAGGCAATAAATATAGAGGAATGGTAAATCGCAGATCACCATTTTGCAGGTGGGGCTCGTCAGTGCATGCTAAAATCAATGTGTGCACTGTGTTGGTGACAGTGTAGTCACATGGTCTGCAAATAACTAAGACAGGCTAGAGAGATGAGACGACATGGAAATTAAAAATAACAAAAATATTTAAGAGGCCAGATTCAGAAGTTTAAAAAGGACAATGTTAAGAAGACAATAGGTTCTTGGTGGGTCTGTTTCTCCAAAACCTGGTTTGGGTTCAATTAATTTGCTAGAGCAGCTCACAGAACTCAGTGAAAGACTTCACTTACATGTTCTATCAGGGTATTATGAAGGATCCCAATAATCAGGTGAAGAGATACACAAGGCAGTGTATGTGGGAGGGCTCAGAGCTCCCGTGCTCTCTGGTGTGCCGCCCTCCAGGAACCTCCTCCTATTTGGCTCTCCGGAAGCTCTGTAAACTGTCCTTTGGGGGTTTTACAGAAACTGCTTTACATGGGTATGACTGGCTACATTCAGGGCCATTAGTGATCAACTTAACTTTCATCCCTTTTTCCCTCCCTGGAGGCTAGGGATTGGGGCTCCGATCCTCTAATCACGCCTTGGTCTCTCTGATAATCCTAAACCACCAGTCATGCCATCAGCATACAAAAAGGACTTTTATCACTCCAGAGATTCCCAGGGTTTTAGGAGCTGTGTGACAAGAAGGAGGGTCAGAGATCAAATATACATTTCTTATTATATCACAATATCACAGGGAGAAAATACATTTTTGTTACTCAGCAGCTGTAAATCTGGAATTTTTCAGCATGGAATTTATTGGATTATTTTAGTTACTCAGCCAGACCTTAGGAAAGGGATACAAATGAGATATGCTGGGGATGGTAGAGGCTGGAAAAGTGACAAGTGTGGTTACCTAGAGCACACAGTAGGGCACACAGTGCAACTGGGCATCCAGAGAATGACGGAACTAAACAGCAAATGGAGGTGGAAACCAAGTGGTGGGCTCCAAGATTATCCCCTGTGCTAGTCACCACCCAGTCTCTAGCCAGCCCTGACCACTCCTCTCAATGTGGGAGGCACTTGTCACATTTTGCTCCCTCCACTGAGCACAGAGGTTTGGCGTCAGCAGTCGTCATGTGAATCTCAGCCCTGCAGAGTGAATTTAGACAAGTTTTTCCATCTGGTTGAGCCTGAGGTTAATCCTTGATAGAATCAAAATGGATTGTGTAAGGCTTTAATGAAATAATAAATGTACAGCAGTTGGCACGGGGCCTAGAATCCACTGGAGGAGGATTGAGTTTCCTAGTTTCCATGCAAAATCACTGGAAGTTGAGATCCACACGTGAAAAGCATTTCACGGTATCTCAGAACAAGATGCCTCAAGGTAGAAGTTTTAACAAGGATTTATTTTGGTATAACAGGATGAAGTAGGGAGAAATTTAAAGAGAGGAAATTTAAAGAGAGAGAAAAAAGCACCACCTGCCAGAAGTGCAGGGAAAGAGACAAGTTCAAAACTGGAGGCCCTTGTGGGTTCTATATGGTCTGAACTGAGGAAATACACATGATCAAGTCAAAGTTTAGCAAACCGTAATCATAGGCAATGGCTCTGGGTGGCCAAGATGGGAGCAGCTTATTATTTTGAAACATGGAGATGGGATCTTGTCTCTCCAAAACACAGGGACAGTAGGTGAGTTTTAGAACTTTCCTTTGCAGATGTGCCTTTCATTCTTTTTGTCTCTGTCTCTTCATGCAGCTTCTTAACATAAGGCAGATGCAGATAGCCTCTCTGTGTCTTCCTAGTCTTATAACTTAACACCTAAACATTTTTACTTCCTGATTCCAATGTCTGAGTCTGGCCCTTTTAATATTTATTAAAAATAGGCCAGAGGCATGGCTCAAGTAGTAGAGTGCTTGTCTAGCAAGGGCAAGGCCCTGAGTTCAAACCCCAACACTCCCAAAAGGCAAAATGAAAGAAACAAGCAAATATATGTTCCCTATCTCCTCATCTATCTATCCTGCCTCAGTACCTACTTAGTAATGTACAGCATCAACGACACATACTGTCTCAGTCATGGCACTACTACTAATCCACACACTCAGCAGAAATCTGTTTGATGCCTCTTTGCCTTAACCACACCAGCTGGTCCCCATGTTCTGCCCTTGTATGTTCCAAATCAGGCCATTCCTTACTAATCTGTCTCTTTTCTGCAGTAGCCACCTGACTGCTCCTCTGACTTCTTCTCTTACTCCCATGACCCCCAGTATGTTCTCCATGGCAGAAGTCCCCAGCTTACTGGGAAACACACCTTCCTGCCCTCCTATAGCTTCCCCTCTCCCTTGACTCCCTGACATCATGACTTGGCTGCTGCCCAGCTCTCTAACCTCATGTCCCAACTCTCCCCGGTACTCCCTGCATTCCAGCACACTGGCTGCCATAGTGTCCTTGAACGCATACCCGTGCTCATTCTCAACACACAGGCTTTCATTTGTTATTCCCTCTGCCTAAAATGCCCTTCATCTTCCACAGGGTTGCTTCCTCTTCCTCTTTCTTATCCTTTAGGTCTCACTTCAATTGTCATTTCCTCTGTTCCCTGACCATCTAAAGTTGTGAAGTTTCCCTAATGACCAATCACTATTACCCTTGTTTATTATCATTAAAGCACTTATCATTAGCTAAAATTTTCTCATTTGTTTATCAATTCCTTGTATGTCTCCCCTATAAAATGTAAGCCAGCCCAAGCAAATAGTTGGCGACACCCTATCTTGAAAAAACCCTGTACAAAAAAGGGCTGGTGGAGTGGCTCAAGGGTAGGCCCTGAGTTCAAGCCCCAGTACTGCAAAAATAAAACAAAATGTAAGGTAGACACAGGGAAAGTTGGGTCTTGTCCACAATTATAGTATCAACACCAGAACCTTGAGCCATTCCTGGCATGTAACAGGCACTTAGTGAATGCTTATGAAATAAATTAATGAATTAAATAAGCCGACTTAAGGATAAGTTCATATGTGTACCTAACATCTAGCACTTCATCCTGCAGGTCAGGGTGTGTCGCTGTACATTCCCCAGTCCACGATCAATGCAACCGTTGAAGAAGACATCCTGCTCTCTGTTGACTACACTTGCCACGGGGTGCCCACCATTGAATGGAAGTACACGTCCAACTGGGGTGTGCAGAAGATTGTGGAGTGGAAACCAGGGACTCCAGCCAACATCTCTCAAAGCCACAAGGACAGAGTCTGCACCTTCGACAATGGCTCCATCCAACTCTTCCGTGTGGGCATGAGGGACTCTGGCTACTATGTCATCACTGTGACAGAAAGCTTGGGGAGCAGTCAGTTTGGCACCATCGTGCTGCACGTGTCTGGTAAGACATCCCAGGGGCTCTTCTGAACTGCAAGTGTGGGTGGCCAGCTTCATAATGTTAAATGACATTGTCTTCCTCTCCCCTTCCCCTCCCCTAGAAATCCTCTATGAAGACCTCCACTTTGTTGCTGTCTTCCTTGCTTTGCTTGGTGCTGTGGCTGCAGTGTTAATCAGCCTCATGTGGGTTTGTAACAGGTGTGCATATAAATTCCAGAGGAAGAGGAGACATAAACTCAAAGGTAATGCTCTGGATAATCAATTCATGGTTTTCTTTTTCTTTTTCTTTTTTGTGGTACTGGGGTTTGAACTCAAGGCTACACCTTGCCCTTTTTTGGTGATGGGTTTTTTTGAAATAGGTCTCATGAACTATTTGCCCAGGCTGACTCCAAACCACAACCCACTGATCTCAACCTCTTGAGGGGCTAAGATAATAGGCGTGAGCCACCAGTGCCCAGCATCATTCATTTGAGGCCAGAGGTAGCATGTGCTGTCTTATTCACACTAAGAAACCACTGTGTGGCTGATTTTCAGCTCATTGACTTGCCTTTTGCTTTGCAGAAAGCACAACCGAGGAGATTGAACTGCAAGATGTAGAATGCTAGCCAAGGCTGGGCCCAAATACATTGCTACCTCAAGAGGAAAACATTTTCCAACAAAAGGAACAAACCTAGCCAGTGCACCCTACACCCTCTTGTGTCCTACCATGCAAACCATCCCTGATGGAACAGCAGGAAGGTTAAAAAACATTGACCACCTTCAGTTGAAGACTGTGGATTGGACAAAGTCAGTTCTAGGATTTGCACCAACTTCATGGAGAAGAATGACTGAGGCTTTGAACCAGGAGCTCTGCTTGACTACAACTTCAGGGCCATGGTGACCTGGAGCCAATGCCACAGTGTGTGTACTGGCTGCTGTGCACAATGCTTGCTCTTGTCCTGGAGAGCCTGTTGGAGGAGTCCCTGTCTTGGGGACCAGAGTGTGTCCAGATTGACTAATGTGCAGCCAGCATTGGAAAATGATTTCTGTGCAAACTCTGTGCACACTTCTGTACCCTGTAACCCCTTATCTTATATCCCGTAAACACTGCTGCAGAACTAATGTGAAAAAACCTGAGGCTTGTGCACAATCTGCTGCCTCAGCAGAGGTACGAAGCTTCAGAGCTGCTACTGTGCTGTGCTGTAGCGAGTTGCAAGGATGCAGCCCTATGCAGCTTTATGGAATGTGCTCCCGAGGGACCAGCTTCAGATACAAGGAATAAGGAGAAATTCATCTTCCTTGTTCTCCCTCATTTCAAAATTAACTGGATTTCCCCAATGACACAAACTTAGGCCAGTGTGAGGGGAACACAGCTCATCTTTACCATGGGCAGCACCCCCCATCCCCAGTCAGCTAGGTTAAGGCCACCTGTGTGAAAGTTGGGCCTGTATAATTGGTGATACAACTGGAAAACTTGTGGGGGCTTTGTTTGTGTCTGTCCTTCTCAGTCACCAGCACTTCATGTGTCTGGTCAGGCCCTTGCTCTCTCCTAACCTGGGATGAGAAACATGTGGCCTTCAGCTACTTCACAGGGAATCAAGAGAAGCCCACAGACGCCTAGAGCGCTCTGAGCAATTTAAGAAAAGCATGAGAATTTTTCAAGGATCTGGAAATCTATACTGGAATGTGCTACACTGTCTATTTAAAATTAAAGTGTCCTAGAGTACTGGAGCTCCAGCTGTCTGGGGATTTGGATCACAGCTGGCCTTTGCTCTTATCCTCTCAGGTTGTTAGTGACAACGTTTACCTGAAAGTTTCTTCATGCCATCTTCTATCAGGCAAGCCCTATAAGCAAGCATAAATTTATTTTACACTCAATTTTCCCTCTCCAATATTAATAGCTATGGGTGGAAACTGAAGTCGTGCATGCAAAGGTGAAGAAGAGCTAGGTATTCCTTTTCTTCCCTTTCCTTTCACGTCCTTAATGTCCGTATCTTTTCTACTTCCCGTGTGGCAGGTAAGGAGTTATCTGGAGAAGTCATTCGGTGACATTTTCCTAAATAATGAATCCAGAGCTATAAGAAGGAATGTTTTGACAGGTTCAGAAGGAACTGACAGTGCTGTAGAGAAGGGCTCCAAAGGACTGCATTTAACTCAGATGGCAAGACAGCAACTGTGCTGCACAACTGACAGGTCACTCCAGCACCTGGCACACAGAAGGCAGCTAAGGCCGCCTCCTGGACACACATGGAGATACACACATTTGTGTTCCTTCCCCAGGCAGCAGTTAGGGGAACCAGGCCCCGTGCCAAGACTGTTCTGCACAGACAATGGAGAAGTGACATGAGGAGTGCTTGAGAAAAGAGGCGATGGAGGACGAGCTGATGCGTAGTCTTCTTTGTAACAGAAGGCCTGCCAGCAGGATGGCGCTGATGCTGCTGGAGCCCCTCAGCTTGTCAGGGGTCAGGGGTGGTAATGGAAAAGAACGGTCAGTGGAGGCCTCCATGGGCAAACTCAGATGTAAATTACATATCCCGAAGAAACTAATAAAAGGTGATTTTCTATGCTTACTATTTATTTGAAAAGGAAATTTATTTGGGCACTTTTAAAGCTTCCCCATTTAAAAATTCCAGAGTGTGAGTTTTTGACTGTTGTTAAAGAGAAGAAAATATTAAATAATGGAGATTGTCCAGTATAATGTTATGTTTAAACTGCGAAAAAATGTTTTAAAAAATGAATGAAAATAAAGCCTTGGTCCTTCTGTCCGTTGTGCCAGCCATTGCCTGCCAAGAACGCAAAGGCTCGGGGTGATGTTTCCAGTTAGTGTTGAATGCACACCAAACTCTCAACCACAGCACTGGGTGAGGCACATATCTTAAATGACAATGGAACTAATCACATTGGTTCTAACAGTAAGTACTTTTTAGCAATTAAGAAAAACACCACCTTATTAGCACCAATGTTCCCTCTCTTTACTGTAGCCAAAAGACCAATTAGTATTTCCATTGTGTCCTTTCTTCTTCTTAAAAGGGCTTAAACTACTGATGATCGGTCTGCCTTACTCAGTGTTGCATATGTTGCCCTATAGAACGCACACGCTTTGTCAACAGTATCTTCTCAATACAACCTAAGAACCCAAAAGAGTATTGTTCTTTCTCATTTCATGCTCTACTGGTTGGCAGAAGAGCTGAAACAGAGAACCCATGTGCTCCACAATCCACATAAGACAACAAATACTTGAGATACTTGAGACTTACTCTGATCTGAAGCACTGCCACAAGAGGGCAGTGAGAGGTCTGTTATCGGGTATTGCCCAGTGCAAGAATGCAGACAGTCTGGGGAGGATACCACTCAGCATGGCTGGTTAAGTGTAACCATGAGGAGAGAAGAGGTGTCGAGTGCCATGACCAGCCAAGGACTCAAAAGTGATGGGGCAAATCCCCAGGGGTATGACACTGAGCACAGTCTCCTCGACAAGCTGGGGGACACGGAGGAAACTCTTGCCTCTTGCAATCATTACCTTTCACATATCCAGTATAGGTCAGGGAAGCGTTAGACACTTCAAGTTTATTGAAAGCAGAGCGAATCTCAGTAGTTGTTAGCACGACTATCCACAAATCAACTCCCCCTTACAGGTGGTGTGAGCTACCAATGTTTGTGCCTTTCTGTACATCTGAACCCTCTAGCCCAGATGTCAGCATCTCCCATCCTTAAGGAGAGCATGGTTGCAGAGATCACTTTTTCCAGTCTTTTAAAAACCAGGTGGGTATGTTTGATTTAGTTTAAATACAAATCCTTCTCAAAAGGCTAAATGATACATAATAAAAGTTCTCCCCTTCTTCCATTCTACTTCCCAGAGGGAACAATAGTCAAATTTGGTGTGAACCCTTATGCATATGCAAGTCTACATTCTACAACATATTCAACCATTTTTGCTTGTAGTTAAATTGCATTCTGTTGTACATATGTACCCTACAACTTGCCTGATCTTCCTTAATGTGGCTTGGGCGTTACTTCATATCTGTACCTATTCCTAAATTTCACTTTTTTTTGCCTGCACAATGCAATCCATAGCATGGATATAATTGTTTGCTGAAAACCTTTTTTTTAAAATACAAATGAAAAATCTTGGACAAACTTTATTATATCATGCTGCATTCACCCAACACTGTTTCCTCGTTACTGAATGCACTCAACTCTTACCTCTTTCAGGGAATTCAGAGTCAATGTTTTGTATGAATGGGTTTTATGTAAAAGCTTATGGGAGACTAATATTTGGGGATGAGAGAAAGGGAATAGCCTTGCATTAACAATAGCCAATGTAAAAAAAGTCAAAAGTTTTAGCTTTAGAAAACCTGTGGTTTTGGTTAATTCCCTTTGTTGTAAAAAACTAGTGATTATTCAGGCAGTTCTATGTGTAGAAATACGTTTCCTTGGGTACCTCAAATTTTGCCTACCTTTAGTAGGACTTTTTCCTACTAAACAAAGTGAACTTATTAAATAATTCAGTTTCCTATTCTTATTCATGGACAATACCTAAGTGCCAATTAGAATTTCTAACCAAATGGGATAATCAGGGATTCCATTTGATTTAACAGTGCCACAGCAAAGCAATCTGGTGAAGCTGGAGAGGGTTAATGTATAATTTCCAGTAGGCTTTTTCAGATACTAGACACATCATAGATCTCCATTACTGTTTCTTTGGGTCCCACAAGGCTCAGATTGAGCACACTTAAAGTTACAAGAAAAGTCATGAATACATTTTGGCAGTAGTATCTGCCATTGACCTCTCCTTGGCATACTCATTAAGTTATCAGTCTGTACGTCACCTTTCTACCTCAGATGTCCTCATCTGTCAAATTTCAAGTCAAATAAGGTCTATCTTCCCACAAAAAAAAGGTTTCTATAAAGCAAGATTCATTCACAACCAGTAAAAGGGAAATGAAAACAGTGAAACATGGAAGTGTTCCTGGTTCTTAGATAAGGGAGCCAGAAAACTCATACAGTATCTAGCTGTGCTTTTAGAAAAGTAATAAATGCGCACCTGAATGTGGGGCTCCTCTGGTATCGTCTACTTGCTTTTCATTTATGCAGGACATTTAGAGCTCTCTTTTAATTCTTCACTTTTACAGACCACTTGATAATCCTTACACCATGATCTCTTATGAATCTGTGCTTTCTGTGGTATTTCATAGGATACATTTCTAGATGTGAACATGTGGTTGGAGATAGTGAACAATGTCAGCTATGGCTATTGACTTCAGAGAACTTGCACCATGGTACTGTGTCACAGGGTTTCTCAGCCTGAGAAATAGTTACCATCCTAAAATGAGATCAAAGAGACTTTATTTTACTCCCAAGTATGTCAAGCATCAACAAAAAGCAAGACTGGGGAAATGAGACTGAACATATTAAAGACAAAGGTAGGGAGTCTCAGGAGAGGTAAAACACAGAGCATGGTTTTAAAAATTACCTGGAAAACCCCCAAATCTTCTTCCACATCCAAAATATTTAAAGTAGGATTATAGGACATGTGAAATGCTCTCTCCAGGTTATAAATCTGGTTTCTAAAACTTCTAAATGCTTTTGTGTTGGGCAAGGGGGAGACTGGGGTTTGAATTCAGGGCTTTGAGCTTGCAAAGCAGGAGTTCTACCACTTGAGCCATATCTCCAATCCATTTTGCTGTGGTTATTTTGGAGATGGAGGTCTAAACAGTATTTGTCAGGCTGGCCTCAAACTGTGAGCCTCCTGATCTTAGCCTGCAGCTGGCTGCAGGAGAGAATGGCTCAGAGCAAAGGACAAGTAGAAAATGGAGACAGAAATGCCAAGGTTTTTTCCTGTTTTTAGTTAATTTGTGGGACTAAGTAAGGAGTCTGTGCTTTTCAGCAAAAGGGCTTTAAGCACCTCTTACAGCTTGACTCTTAGAATTACAGCTGCTTACTGCTTTATATTTGCATGGCACCTTTAGAATTTAACATCCATTACCAACCTTATTGATAGCTGTGAGGTTAGCAAAGGGGTTTCTTTATCCCTACTTCTTTGTAAGAAAACAAGTTCAAAGGTTAACATTGCCAGGCTCATACAGATAGCGAATAGCAGAGCCAATATCCAAATACAGCTCTTTTGCCAACCTGTTGAACACTTGGGACTAATTGGTTTTCCCCTATCACCTCCCAAGTTCCTCTGCGCATACCCCCTCAGATCCACATAATTCAGGTTGAAACAAGCTGGGAATGTAAACACAAGGCAGAGTGAGGCTGGTTCAGCAACTCAGCTGTTTCAGTTTCTACCGTTCTGTAGGTGAGTAATGGCTGTTCACTAACAGAGACTTAACTGAATGGGGAAAGGAAGACATAAGATCTTGACAGCTTTCAGTTATCTACTCCTATGCATGGGTTCTCATCTGTTCTACTCAGAGTGGTCCTGGTCGATAAGCTGTTCAGGACTTTTATATTTGACAGCAATTCTATGTCTATGAGAATCAAATAAAAAGAGCTTTTATCTTTTTAAAAATTTATATGAGTAATTCATTTTTTAACTTACCAAAGTATCCATCTGCAATTAAGGGAAACTTAAAAAACCAAAAACTGATCTTTCAGTAAAAATTTGATGTGTCACTGTTCTGGTGTAAGCCTCCAAAAATCACACGTGAGACTTGTACAGTTTAGCCTGCTAGCCAAGGCAAATTTTGTGAGCCACCAGAATTTCTGAAGCACTAAAGACTTTTAATAAGTAACTGCAAATTCTGACCAATTTTTAAAATTTCCATGGAAAGATGCGGGGCTTTCTTTTTTTCTCGGTATGGAGTTTGAACTTCGGGGTTCATGCACGCAGCCTAAGCACTCTACCACTGAGCTACACCCTCAGCCAAGATGCAGAATCTTGGTCCGAAGAGGCAAAAAGCAAACAAAAGCACAAAGAAGTTGCATCACAGCCCATACACTCCATTTTTCTTTAAAAACAAAATAAGATGGAGGAAGATGATGGGTTACTGCCATTATCTTAGAAATTATTAAAACAGAAGATTTTATTGATAGATTGATTGGAACTGGGGTTTGAACTCAGGGCTTTTGAGTTTGCAAAACAAACACTCTACTGCTTGAGCCACAACTCCAGTCCAAACATGTTTTAAAAATTCAATTTTAGCTGGCAGAGTAGCTCAAGTGGTACAGTGCCTGCCTAGCAAGCATAAGGCCCTGAGTTCAAAACCCCAAACTGCCCCCCTAAAAAAAAAAGACAAAAGAAAAAGAAAAAAATTCAGTTTTACTTCAAAGGAGACTTTACTATGTATTTTTTTGGTGGTACCAAAAGGTCCATAAGCCTGTATTTTTTTTTTGTGGGGTTTGAACTCAGGACCTCACACTCGCTAGGAAGGTGCTCTACCATTTGAGCCACTCTGCCAGCCCAAGTCTGCATCTCTTATAATGTGAATTCTTCACACACACTTTAGGAGTGGAGCACTATTTTCAAGAAACATAAACATGTTACTTAGAAAAACCAACCCATGGGTCCATTAGTTCTTTTTTTCCCTAGAGAAAGCAGAGATCTAATGGAAGAACAAATTGGAGAAAGCAACCCAGGTCAGTTGAGAAGGCTAGACGGGAGGCAAGGGGACAGCTGGGAATGAGTATGCTAAGAGTACCAAGTGGACAGAGGTCACTCAAATGGGAAAACAGATCAACAGGACAGGAGGAAGCCCTGAAGGTACAATCTGCCTTGTGCCCTTCTGAGGAAGTTGTTAAACTGCTTATGTTTATGACTTGGGCATGTAAAGAAGACAGATGGAGGAGGGAATCGGCTTTCTAACATACACAGTTTAAGAGTCCTAGAAATAAAGAGAGGACTTCCTTCTGCTGGGAAAGAGATGGGTCTGCTCAGTGTAAGTGAATCTCTGTATGAAAGCTAGGTCATAAGAGTGCTTCTTCAACATTATGTGATCTTTTAAAGAAATGGTAAGAGGGCTGTGGGTGTGGCTCAAGTTATACAGCCCCCTGAGGCCCTGAGTTTAAACCCTCAATACTGCCAAAGAAAACAAATAACAACAAAAATAAACAGTAGAATGAACAGTTGATTTGAAACACACACTTTATTTGATGTTAACATCAAAGAAGGGCCATTTTAAAAAGCAAATTAATAACATTTTTCAGGTTAACTGTATAAAAATATTATCTTACATCTTCCCCTACTATATACCTACAACTGTATTTAAACTTATGCATTTCAAAGTACTTGTTACCTGTAAAGTGAAAGGTTTCAAACAGCTAGATAAACATTTATTATTTTCGTAAAAAAAAAAAAAATACACCTTTGGAAGATTTCCCTTCCTTGTGCTTATAACTTATCTGCAAACATCTCAAGTCAAGGTTTCTGGAAGCTGTCCTGGAAAAGATCACAGTAGACAAGGACTAAGTGCAGACATAAGCAGCTCCATCTTATAAACAAAGTTCCGACCTTCCATCTTATTCCACTGGACTTCTTTGAAGGGTCCACGAAGGTGACTCCATTTGTTATCTTGTAAAACATCGCTTTTTGGAAGATCTTTACACTGGTTACGAGGAAACTGAACCATAATTTTGCTGCCACTTTCAGGTCCATTACGAACTATGGAGGAAAAAACAAAATATCAATAGACTCATTTTGTAAACAAGGAAATTCCAAGGATAGCTGGGCACTGGTGGCTTATACCTATAATCCTAGTTACTTAGGAGGTTGAGATTGGGAGGAGCACAGTTCAAGGCCGGCCCAGGCAAACAGGTCGAGAGAACTCCATCTCCAAAATAACCAGAGCAAAACAGACTGGACGTGTGGCTCAAGTAGCAGAGTGCCTGCTTTGCAAGTTCAAAGCCGTGAGTTCAAACCCAGTACTACCATAAGGGAAAAAAAAAGGGAAATAAATCCCACTTCATTCTATTGAGTATAAAAACCTATCTGTTCAACAGCTTAAACAATCTTGTTAAATGATGCTTTTTGGCGGGGAGCGGTGCTAGGGCTTGAACTCAGGGCCTCACTGTCAGCCTGGGCTGGCCTTGAGCCTCAGTCTTCCTGGTCTCTCTCTTCTGAATAGCGGAGAGAGCAGCTGAGAGTACAGGCTCTAGCCACCCAAAATGCTAACTTTTAAAAACTAATTTATGCACACACACACACACACACACACACACACACACACACGCACCAAGCTACTGTAAATATCTCTCAACTGTGTGCCCTACAAAAATCATGCAAGATGAGCTGGGCACGGTGGTACACATCTGTAATCTCAGTTACTCAGACAGAGACCTGAGGGATCGATATTTGAAGCCACCATGGACAAAAAGTTAGCAAGACCCCCACCTCAAATAACAAGCCATGTGTAGTAGGACACACCTGTAATACTAGCTATCCAGGAGACATAGGAAGGAGGACTATGGCCAGAGGCCATACAAACACACGATACCCTAACTGAAACATACCTAACGCAAAAAAGGGTTGGTGTATGGCTCAAATGGTAGTGCTTGCCTAGCAAGCTCAAGGCCAAGTTCAAATCCTAGTACAACCATCTGAAAAAAAAAAAAAGGGAGTCCCCTCAAAGTAGGTATTTTATTAAGTACCTCCTCTTGGTTCTACCTCTGTGGTTCTGTCCATGTGTATAGCACCATATCCATTCAACACCTGGGACTGCAGGAATAATAATGCTGACTGTTTAGAGGATCTACCAAGGTCTAATGTGCTGCTAAGATAAGAATTTTTTTTTTTGTGATACTGGGGATCAAACCCATGACCCCATGCATGCTAGGCAAGTGCTGTACTCCTTAGCTACAGCCCAGCCCACAAGCTAAATGGTTTTAAGTACTAGAAAGAGAAGTAACAGTCTTTTGTTCTGAGTAACAGATATGATCAGATAAACATCACTGTAAAAAAAAAAAATCAACTCACCAGAGATAAATTACTTTTATGGATATTTAACTTCAAAGCAAAATGTTAAAGTCAAAATCCCAATGGTTCCTACTCATTCAGAGCTGCAGAAAGTACCTGAAATAGCATAGTCTCCACTCGGGGAGGCCACTGTTATGGCGGAGGCATTGCCAATGCTCTCTATGGGCCCAAGTCCCACATGATTGCTGAAGCTGAGTACCTGCCAGCCCATAACCTTGGCCAGCTGCTGCACTGCATGCACCTGATGCTGTGACATCTGTGAAAGGAAAAGGAAATATGACAGTCAGTACTTTTACTTGCAGTGACTTGACATCATCCTTGTAAGCTTCTGTTAAGGGTTTGCAGTGCCTAGACAGCAACCCTGTCTTATGTTTAGGAGCCCTCCTCTGTGTGACTACTACAAAGAGGGAGCAAGACCCCTCCTGCCATTGCAGGAGACTGAATTCCTGGTACTTGCTTTCCCTGTCCCCTGGCAGCTTGAGCACAGGCACATGACCTAAACTCCAAATGGAGTCTCCCACCCGGATCACTGAATGTGAAGCAACACTAAAAGTAGCAGGTATGCTAAATAACCTCCATTCACTCTTCAAGTCTAGTCCCTACCCTACTCTCTGCCCTGGGAGGCGCAACTGTTAACAGCCTCTTAAGTTCTCTGGCTTCAAGTGGGGTTCAGGTAGTGGCACCCACCCAAGTAATGGGGGCTATCCAATAGCTGCCAGCAAGACAGCAAGGAGGACAGTGAGTCAGGGTATTTTCTCCCTTGGCACCGTCCCTGTGAGGTTATCTAGGCTGGCGGAGTCTCTTAACAAAAGGCCGCTGGTCTTCTCAAGTGGCTTACTCTATGTGACTCTCCTTTTGTGGTGTACCTTGTCCCTCCCGTTAACCTTGGGCTAGGGCTGCTGACTACCGTTAAGGGCTCTCCTACACCCACAACTTTGTAGCCGGACCCTCCCACACATGCTGCCTGTTTCTTCTTTAGACTCTGCCCCCAGCAGTGAGCGCAGCAGTGCCATTCCCCCAGCCTCCTTGGATTTCTATCCATTTGCAAATCTTGGTCTCTAGACTTTCCACTCATTCTACAAGCTATGCAGTAACAATTCAACAGGTTTGCATGTATGCTTAAGCATACATGGTCGAAGCCATTTAGTATCTAATCGGCTAAGAGCTACCATCCTTCACAGATACATTTTATTGACTTGGCACCAAAGACGCAAATCAGAACACAAGATTATTGCTTCTGGGATGGGGAATGTTTTTCTCTTTTATGTGAAAAAACAGGATCTCACCCTAACATTTCAAAAATCCACCCTCTACCCTTTCTCCCATAATTCAGTATCTCACTAGACTAGCTGTGGTAACTTCAGGGAGAAGGCGGTAAAAATACTGTTCTTAGTTTACAAATAAGGAAAGAAAGGACCAGAAATGTATCTAGTGCCCCAAAGCAAGTTGGTTGTCAAGTGGGGACCAAACTCCAGTACTTTCTATACTGCTATTGTAAGAGTACAACATTCAACTTATTACTATGGATAATGTTCATTATTATTTGGCATCTGATCTCCCTTTCTCTAGTTTTCTTGGATTAATACTTCTCAACTCCTAGCCCTGGAGAGGCTGTAAGTCCTGGAAATCATAAGAAACAAAAATTTGCTAGTCTCAGAACTGGTCCTTCATCTAAAACAAAAGTAGGTGAAGGGCTGGAAGTGTAGCTCAAGTGGTAAAACAACTCCCTAGCAAGCGTGAGGCCGAGTTCAATCCATAGCACCACTACCAAAAAAAAGAACAGGCTGAGGGAAGGAAGATAGAGAGTGCAAGGTCAGTCTGAGCTTCACAGACCCTGTCTCAAAAAACCTACCAAATAAACCAAAATAAAGTGAGTGGAAACAAATCTACAGCAGTTCATTAACACTTTGAATTAACCAGCAGATTGCAAATGTCATTAGAAATTACATGAAATCCAGGCTGGAGGTGTGGCTGAAGTGCTAGAGTGCCCTCCTAGAAAGCGTGAGTCCCTAAGTTCAGCCCTTCAGTACAACCAAAGAATAAAAGGCAATAAAGGGTGTGTGTGTGGGGGGTCCTCCTTTTATAATTGACTACATTTTAATTACTTCTTAGCTTGTTCCTCAAGCAGTTATGAGAGAAAGGGATTAAGGATTTGTCTGCAACCACTACCTGAGACAAAAGAAAATCCTGCAGCTCCTGCTCCTGATGAGATAGCGTAATCACTCTTCCGTCTCTGTGAACGACTCGGACCTGCTCAACTCCAATGTTCAACTGCAGCTGAATGGACCTTTACAGATACACACGCTAAAAATCAGGCACATTCAAAATTATCTTTCACAATGCCACAAACATTCAATTATAATATCATGGAAAAAATCAGTTTTAACAATCTACACTAACATTTACGGAGGAGTGGGGTGGTCTTCCTAGCTTCCACTAAACAATCAGACCACACAGAGCACCAGTCTACTCAGCAGGCCAACAGCATATGCTCTTCTCTAGCAGTTCACAGCAGGACATGCAGCTGTCTACACAGCAGCACATACTTCCTCGTGACGAGATTCATACTGGGCATATATGGGACCTGCCCTGACATCCCCCCCTAGAGCTACAAAATCTTATAGTATCTCCATAGGCATGGTTTCCAAGGTCCCCATTAAGAGAAGCCCTGTTTTAAAAGTCACACAATTCAGGAAGTCCAAAGGCACCTGTCATTATATAAAATTGTTCCCAAACTAGATGTATCTCATCAGTTTGGAACCATTTTTGCCATAAGTAATTTAGCCTAGTAATATAGACAACATCTTCCCAGAGTTAACCAAAGGTCAAACTCTTACATAGACACTGGCATGGTGACCCATGCCTGTAATCCTAGCTACTCGGGAAGCCGACTGGGAGGATCTCAGTTTGAAGTAAGTTTAGGCAAAAAGTTTAACAGACCCCCATCTCAACCAACAAAAACTAGGTGTGTCTGGACACCAGTGGCTCATGCCTGTAGGGGATTGGAAGGATCCTGGTTTGAGGCCAGCCCAGGGAATACAGAAGATTCTCCAAAATAACCACAGAAAAATGGAGTAGAGGGGTAGCTCAAGCGGTACAGCCTGCTTTGCAATCCCAGTACTGCAAAAAAGCAAAACAAAACAAAAACCTCACACAGAAAGGGAAAAAGTTTTGCTAACTATAAAAAGTTTATCCTGAAATAATCAGCAAAGAAATCAGAATATGCACTCTATTAACTTGGGGTAGGTCAAACAAAAAAGTCATAAAGTTGTTAATACATACCATTCAGACCACAGTACTCTTCCAAACAACTTACAGCCAGGTGCCTATGGCTCAAACCTGTAATTCTAGCTTCTCAGGATGCAGAGATCAGGAGGATAGCAGTTCAAAGTCTGCCCGAGGCAAACAGTTTGGGACACCCTATCTTGTAAAAACAAAACTATCACAAAAAAAGAGGCTAGCAACTTGGCTCAAGCAGTGTCTGCTAGCAAGCAGATCGGTCGATCAATCTGAATCTAACATACGTACATATCTAACAAATATATATGTTAGATACTAGAACCTCTTGTTTTTAACTTTATCTTACAGTACATATTTGGTAATAAAGCATTTTGTTTTTGTTTTTTGTTTATCCTGGTGGGACAGGAGTTTGAACTCAGGGCTTTGCACTTGCTAGGTAGGTCCTCCATCAGTTGACCCATGCCTCCAGCTCTAAAATTGTAAATCTTTTGGGGGGGATGGGGAGGGTGGAACTGGGGTTTGAATTCAGGGCCTCGTGCTTGCTAGGCAGGCGCTCTTACCATTTGAACGATCCCACCCTTTTATTGGGATGGGTTTTTTGGAAACAGAGTGTATCTACTTGCCCAGGGCTAGCTTTCAACCTCGATCCTCCTGATCTGTTCGTCTCCTGAGTAGCTAGGATTATAGGCATGAGCCACTAGTGCTGGCTCTAAATTGTAATTTTGATAAATTAAAGCTTACATTATTTTTTCAAAGTAAAACAAAGCTCAGAAGGCTTAAAGGAAAAGACACAGACTTAAGCAAATTAAAAAATAAATAAATTTAAACAAGCCAGTGCTAGTTTAGTGTTACAGTGCTCATGCCTGTAACCTTAGCTATTTGGGAGGATGAGACTGGGAGTATCGTGTTTCGAGGCCAGCCTAGGTAGATAGGTGTGACTCAAGAGGTGAAGTGCCTGCTTGAAGCCCTGAGTTCAAGCCTGAGTTCTCCCCTCCCCACAAAAAAAACAAAAAGAAAATTAAACAAGAGTGTGAAGGGACAGGAATTCTTATCACTCACTATTGATGAGGTATACGTATAGCAACCACTTTGAAGAACTTTAAAGTATTAGTCAAAAATTTAAATGTCCTCACTTTCAACCCAGCAGTTACATTTATAAGGACTTAATCCTACAGATATATTTGCAGGAGCTGGAGGTGTGGCTCAGAGTGCCTGCCTTGTGAGATCCTGAGTTCAAACTCCAGTACTGCCAGAAAAAAAAAAAATATATATATATATATACACGTATTATATATGTATACATATATAATACATACATGCACGTATATACACACACACATATTTGAGCATACACAAGTTATTTTGCTGACATCCAACAAAAATCTCCACCTAGGGAAAATTAAAATTCTTTTTTTCGTGGGACTGGAGTCTGAACTCAGGGCTTACCACCTGAGCTACACCTCCAGTCCATTTTGCTCTGGTTATTTTGGAGATGGGGGGGTCTCACAAAGTATTTGCCTGGGCTGGCTCTAACTGTGATCCTCCCCAACTCAGCTTCCCAGGTAGCTAGGTTTAGAGGCGTGAGCCAGCAGCGTCCAGCTTAAAATAACAACAACAAAACTTACTTGATACATATAATGGAACACATTATATGCATAAGAAAAGAATGAGGCAGATCCATATAAGGAATGTCAATTCACTAATTTGCTACTAAGTAAAAAGAAGCACACAAACTGGGGAATGATGGTGCAGGCCTTTCATCCCAGCACTTGGGAGGTGGAGGCAGGAGGAGCATGAGTTCAAGGCCAAGAGACTTGCTACGCTATATAGTGAGACTATCTCATCAAGGTGGAGGAAAAAAGAGTACAGATCGTAAATGACCACTAATATGCAGAGTTTCTTTTTGGGATGATGGAGAAATTCTGAACTACTAGATAACTATGATGATTACACAACACAGGGAATTAAAATTTTTAATTTTTTTTAGAAAGCTGCACAAAAGAAGTAAGGTGCAGGTGGGATATACATACTTGAGAACGCAAAGACTTTCTTAGAATGATGTTCTGAAAATTGCTTTCAACTCTAAGTAGCCTCTAAAAGATGAGGATCTCTCGTGATCCCCTTTTCTTTTGTCCTTTTCTTTTTTTGGTTGAGACAAATTCTTGCTGTATTGCCCAGGCTAGCCTCAAACTCAAAAGCTCTTGCCTCAGCCTCCTGAATGCTGGGATTACAGTCGTGCTCCACAATACTCAACTCTCCCTTCCTGATTCTGTCAAGGATCTATCATCAAATTTTCTTTACAGAATTCACATCAAATATTGTAACCAGAATCACAAGGCTGTTTTGGTTTTTGGATTGGACATAAACTACTGAATGCCAATAATTGTCTCCTTTCTTTTTTTTGCACTCATTCTCTCAACATTTTTTTATTATGGAAAAATTTAAACACAAGCAGAAGTGGACTGTAGTATAATCATAACCTCTGACCCCATTACCCAGTCTTAAAAGGTAGAAACTCATTCTAAATTTGTTTCCCCTATATTCAACACCCATTCTTTCCATCACATCCCCAAAACACCCAATTATTTTATTTCTTTAGATAGAGGAGAAAATTATGGTTCAGTTTCATTCCATCTTTTTTCATGTAAGTTTCAAAACTAATCAATTTCCTTTACATTGTATATTCTTTTATCTTGTATGAGCTTATGCTTACCATTTTTCACTAAAAAATAGTGAATTAAAACTGCCCCATTACAAAGTAGTATTATAGGGGTGGTGGAGTGGCAAAAGTGGTAGAGCCCCTACCTAGCAAACACAAGGCCCTGAGTTCACTCCTGAGTACTGCAAAGAAACAAACAAACAAAAAAAACAAAGACAAAAACAAAAAGTAATATAAATGCATTTTCTGTTCCTACTTTAAAGGTCAGTGATTTTGTGTCTCACCATGTTTTGCTCACCATAACTAGTTAGGTCTGTCTGAAATAAAACCTGCCCCTTGAAAAATAAATAAAAAGTACTCACAGACTCTGACAAATGTTTGCTTGAGGCTTTCGCAGACTAACCTGGGAAAGGGCCTCAGCTGTGCCTATCAGTTGTTAAATTTCAAAGAGGTTCAAATGGAGACCCAAAACATGTGTTTGTGGCTCCTAGACAACTGTATTAACTTATGAATTGTGAATGGAAAATCAAGCAGACAGCATGTCAAAGAATGCTGGGACAAAAATCATTTTGCCACTTCACAGACACACAACTATCAACTGGTTTAAAAGGCATAATCATGAACTGGATTAGACCCAGATCAATGCCAGGCCAAGAAAGAACTTCAAATCCTGGGCTGTTCTAGGCACAACATGCAGAGTACAGGCTCTAGTATAAATGGCTGTCCTGTCTCAAGCGCACTAGGCATGTCATAGCCTAGAGGCAATAACTGAAGCAGTGTGGCCTGTGTCTAAGGAGATGGGGCCACTAGAGCTGAAAGGCTGGGTTCACTTTTTTCTGTAGCTCAAATGTGTGAACATTTACCTAATAGATATTATTTTAGACATTCTTTACTTTACATTCTTACAAACATGACAGTTGATATTATTACTGAAATGTTACTTGCACCCTAGCAAACAAAAACCAAAAGTTTAATAGAATCCCTTAGCAAACACCAGTGCCTAACAAGCAACTTAACATCCTGAACACATGACTTTTATCTTGACACTTACTTGCATATTTGCTCATAAACTTGTGAGGTGATCAATACTTTCACACTAGACTCATAAACATCATTGATATTTGACCAATGGGCCTGTATCTGAGCATCCTCAATGCGGCTTGCTAAGCTGTCAATGGTTGCAGCAGTTCTTTAAAAGAAAAGTTAAAGTTCTTAAAAAGTCACCATATAAAATGAAAGGATTTAAACTGATTATATGAAAACATGGAAATCAAATGACTACTTTTTGAAAATACCACCATTTGAAAAGCAAAGCCCCCCCCACCCCTCCTTATTGAGGTTTGCACTCATGGCCTTCTACTTGTTAGGCAGGTCATCTACCACTGAGCCACACCCCCAGCCTGAAAAGCAAAGATTTTGAACAAAGGTAGAGGTAGTTCTGAGAACCTCTGCACACCGCACTGATGTGCTGGTCTTAGCTTCATCTCACAACTCGTATCAATCACACATTCGTGATTATGACAATTCATGACAGTTATGCTCTTTCAACTCCATTTGTTTTGTCCCATTCAGGAAACTTATCAGGCCACAAGTAAGAAAGATACTTCTCAGGCCCTAACTAATCTGAAAAAATCATTCGCAAGTGTCAGTACTTGATCCCTGGTAACAAATGACATAGGAGACACCATACTTAGATTATTATAATAGAATTAAAATCAAATTCAAGAGAAGCTAGAGACCTTAAGCACAATCAAATCTTACACACCAAGAAAGAAAAATATGATAAATAAAAATGAGAAATAACATTAAGTGTTCATTATATACCAAATATTATAATTAAGTGCTTTCAGGAATTGTATTGCTTAATCTTACAACTCTATATGCTGGGTAGGAACTATTTTCTTCATTTTTCAAAAGAGAAAAAAGGTTAGCAATGTTAAGCAATTTGCCAAGGTCACATAGCTGTAAGCTGGGGTATAAAACTGGGAGTCAACTGCAAAGCAAGTACTCTTTCCTTTGTACTTATACACACTGCTTAGATCCAAAACATAAATTATGTAAATTGATCAAACTACTGGATGCCCTTACTTTCTAATTATCTAACTCTAGCAATTTATTGGAAAGACAAAGAGCTTAGAGAAAATGGGAAGAAATGACAACAGCTATGGTGGAAAGGGACTTTCACATAAACAACAAGCATTTGCTCTTTTCCCCTGCTGCTCCAGTAGTGGTAATTTCTAATCTGCTCTTAACTTTTCCTTTCCATAGTTTGCTTCCCTGACAGTGAATCAAAATTCCTACAACAGACAGACACGGATGTAAGAATGTTCTGCTCAGCATCTGTCAACAAACTGGGAATAAAAAAATATCCAGTGACTGAGAATTTGGAAAGAAGTTACAGAATACTCACTTAACAGTATATGACTCAGCTATTAAAGTATCTTTGAATGCTGGGCATTGGTGGCTCATGCCTGTAATCCTAGCTAGCAAGGAGGATTGAGGTTCAAAGCCAGACTGGACAAAAAGTTCTCCAAACCCTATCTCAAAAAAACCCATCATGGGAAAAAAAAAAGGGCTGCTGGAGTGGCTCAAGGTATAGGCCCTGAGTTCAATCCCTACATCAAAAAAAAAAAAAAAACTATCTTTAAGAACTTGGTGAAAGAAAAAAAATTTGCAATACAGTATTAGGAGAAGGTAGGATATAAAATTTTATGAACCTAGATTTAGTAAAATTAAAAAGTCTAGTTTCCTAATGCATCTGTCTAGTCACTTGTCTGCAAAATTTTAGTGCAGTGTTAGAAACACTACATTAAGTTATATTGGCCCTGCATCTAATCCTTCCCCATACATGTCAGGACCGTGTCTATCTCCATAAACTCTTACACTACAGCCACCTTCTTCCTGGTGGGGAAAAAGGTTAAAGCTCCAAAAATTAATTACATGAAGCAATACAGGAAAAAGGACCTCAATTTCACAGAAAAAGTTGCTTTCTTCATCCTTACCTGCTCCTTAGAAAAATATGCTTTGCTTGTTTAATTATTTTTTCCAGAAGTCCTTCACTAGACTGTAAAGAATTAATTTCATTTTTATCAAAAGCTTGAGGACCCAAAAGTCTCATTCTCTTGTGGCCAAAAGGTGCACTTGCTGGGTGAGGCATCATGATGGAACTCAAGGTCTGTTTATGAAACTGACAAAAACAGCCATTTTAAATGACCAATACGCATGAAGTAAATACAACACAGTATTTAATCAAAGCAGGGCTCACACCTTGGAAACACTAAAAGCAATAGGCTTGAACTACACATAAAAGCAATCGTGGCACAGAAGATACATGCTAGCATCTACCAGATCATGCACAATACAAGTCTGTAAAGAGAAGGACCCCTTCGAGGTTATAATTTTTTATTTGTATTTATTTATTTATTTTTTTGTGGGACTGGGGTTTAAACTCTGGGTTTCGCATTTGCAAAGCAGGTGCTGTACCACTCGAGCCACAGCTCCAGTCCATTTCGTGTGGTTACTTTTTGGAGATGGTGTATCTCAAACTATTTGCCTGGGTTGGCCTGGCCTGAAACAGGAGATCCTCTGGATCTTAACCTCCCAAGTAGCTAGGATTACAGATGTAAGCACTGAGCTATAATTTTTTATTTAAAATATAAAACAATTGTACTTCACTTAGTCTCGTCGAGAAAATATATGCATCAGTAGATATTTATTCCACTTGTCTTAGACTCAGAGAGCCCCACATTTGGGCTGCTTATGAGCAACCTGAGGAGATTTTTTAAAACAACAGCTTTCACACCATCACAATCAACTGCACCAGATCTTGGGGCAGGGTAGGGAGGCTAGAATACAATACTTCTGTGAAGTATCTCAGGAGCTCCCTTTGAAATGAGTCTGTACTGTGAACTAGCACTTTGGAAACATAGCTGTAGATGACTTCCATTTCCAGTCACAGACCACAGCATACTTTTTTCCATCTCTCTCTTCCCTTCCCCATCAGAATTGGCCTTCCCCTCTGCACCTTCAGTATGTA